TTTGCGAATTTTTGGATCGATTTCAGTTTTCAGTCCGAGAGTGTTTGAGCACACAGCTCAAGTGCTAGGGTCGATCACCAAATTCAAGTATAAATATCAATTCTGGAATGGGCAGTCAATCCGATTTTGAGTCTTTGAAAATTCGGTTTGCACCTAATTTTAGTTACCAAGTTAAAAGTGGAAAAGTATAAACTTTCTTACTGATTTGAGGACTAAGTTTAAATTGTAACAAGCGCATTTGAGTAAGTAATTCAAGAGTTCTTTTGATTATCAAGTTTAGGTGCGAGCCCGAACTCCCAGGTCTAACATGTTAGAGCTCTAATACTTCGATTTTTTCAGTATGAGTACAGCTTTATAAATTGCAGGCTTTTCAAGTGTACTGGAGCACGTCAAAAATGGTTTTTAATTTATTAACAGTTATCCTAACATGTTTTGTTCTTGTCAAAATTCGCCGACTTTATGGACAAAGTAACAAAATCTTCAATAAATTTGGAACAATCAGAATTTCGGCTTCTGAAAGAAACAATTATCGGACGGTAAGAGATTAATGGTTTTTTCCAAGTATCAAGTAACTAAGAAAAATATCAAATACTTCCTCTTCTATCACATACCAAGAGTAGTGGAATATATAGATTGCAGGGTTAACCCCACTATGTTATCAAAAAAAAAAAATGTTGCCAGCTGCACTGTTGGAAAAACAGACTATGGTTTGCATCTGATTCAAATATTAGTGACCTCTCCACAAAAGACTAAGCCTGTAACCTAAGTAATACTCAGTTACGATTGCTTTTCTTGTTGACAAAATTCCTAACTTTCAGGCTACACGAATGGCTATTTACGTATTAATTGTTGAGACAACGCTGAAAGCTGTGCCAGGATTGATCATGGTAGTCTCGACAACCGCCGGATCGACTGTAATGGTCAACATAATGGCATATGTTACTGGAATGAGTAATCCCATATGTCATGCCTGTCATCCGTTCATTTTTGCACTCGCGCACCGCGACTTCAAAGAAATCCTGTACCGCCGGTCTGCACAGCTTCAAAAAGGGGATTCCTCAAGGTCGGGCGCTGGAAAAGTTTCAGTTGTTGCTCCTGTCAACAGGGATCGGCTAGTGGTAAATTTGCCTCCCCAGCCTAGTCCATCCACTAGTCGCTGCAGCGTTGCAACTCGGTACTCATGTCGCACATCACTTTCCGGAAAAGTCGAAAACTCGGGCAATCAATCGCAGATTAAGCAGAAAACAGTGTAAATGCTACTGTTGTAATTACACTACAAGTATTTGCTGAGGATCTCCGGTTAGTGATTCTCTGGATATATCAAGAATGTTATGTCTACAGTATCCCAGTTACGTCACTGGTCCAGGCAAACAGCGTGGTTATCTAATGTTTGTGTTTTTACGGTGGCCTGTGCTTCATAGCTCGTTGCCTGTTCGATGTATGTGCGCTGTATCTATACTGCTGTTGGAAATTGAGCATAAAAATTGCTAAATTTGGGGTAATAGTATCGA